GAAACCGATTAAGTTTGATTAAAAATACCTATTCTTCTCTGAACTCATTGGCTCACCGCTAAGCTAATAAATTCATGTTCATTTATAATTTTATCTTCTCTCATCATCATTTCGGAATTCATATTTCCCTTTTACTAGTCGTTTTTTAGGTTGGTCACATTATTAAAAATGAATAAACATACAACTCATTAACATAATTATAATCGGCATCTAACATTACAAATGAGTGAATCTATTAGCACTCACAACTCTCTACTGAAACAAGAATACTTAAAAACGATTTAGCGAAACAGTTGCAGCTCTGTACAAAGTTATTAGTTTAAGTACTACATGTGTTAAAAATTACTGAAACTCAGAAGTCCACACTTCTGGACTAAATAAAGTTTGCACGTTTCAGTATTATCTTTTCACTAAACTTTTTAACAGTGCTCGAATTCATTATTCTATGTCATAAGTATCATGGAGTCAAGGATACCATCCAATTCTAAATATCGAGTATGAGTCTAGAGCTAAAATACATTTTCTCATTTTGATTAGCCTTACAAAATACCACACATATTAATCGAATATTCTGAGAAGAGGAAGTGCAAGTGATAAAAACTAGTGTGAAAACAGCTATGATTAATGAACCGGCTTTTACAAACTAGTTTCATTCTGTCATCAAACTATTTTGATTTTAAAAATGTGAATCTCATGATTTAATGATGGATGCTTCAGAGCTAATTATGCTTTATTTTATTATTTACTCAATGCAGTCAACAATCTATAAAAGCAGTTATTATTTAATATCAAAGTCAAGACAATAATATATAAAACCGAACAGTTACTAGGACCTAATTTATTAGTTTTCTCAGTCCAATTAATCCATGTTGTCAGCGTTATTATCAAAATTTTCGTACGCTGTATTGAAGACAAAGTGAAGGAATAAGCAAAGAATGCAAACAAAACTAAGTTGTTATTTGACTTTAAATAAAATTTTGTTTCCAAATTATGGAATTTACTAAAATAATATTTTTTTCCCTTAAATTAGGTAACTTTTATTTAGACTACCATGTCACAAATCCCTCCCCGTACTAACATTAAAAGCAAGATTAATTCACTAAGAAAATCAAAATAAGGTCAAAATAACAGTTAAAGCACGTGTAACTCTCTTACAGTGGTAAATCATCAAGAAGGCTTAGATAATTCGTAGTCAGAAGTAATAAATCCACCTTTAGTAGTCAGGTACTACAATTGAAAAATTTAAAATTAGCGAAAGAATAATATAAATCAGTGATGATAATGGTCCCATTTTGTTGTTTAATCATAAATAAATACTAAAATATTTTATATTTTTACCTACGTTATCTAGTTGAGTATAACTATCCAAATCATCTGGTTGATTGATTTGTAATTGGACATTTGTCACCTGATGTATAAAATTGTTAGGTTGTAAGCAATAGTTTAAACTTTCCAATCATAAAATGATTAAATATATTTCTACAATATTATAAACAAATGGCAGTCGATTGAATTTCCTGCTTTGTTTACTTATTTCAATTTTATTTCATAGGTGAGTATATCTTTAGTTTTATTCAAATAAATTCTAGATAGTAACCATCATTGTTTATTATACTGATTATTCGTAAAGTATTCAGTTAGGTGATTCATAGAGCAAAGTTTGAAAATGATTATTATCTAGGGTTAACATTTACTGACAAACTGCTCAAAACTAAGAAGCATCGGACATCTGTTTCATATTAATTTCAGTTTAATCACTCACCACTTCTTGAACGATCAAACCTTCGATATTTTGAACTGATCTGAATTTTAGATTTCAGTCAATTTTTAATGATGAGCGATCGTTATCTTTTATCCTCTAAGAATTCAGCATCTAAATACTACTTCAAGATATATGTTACAGTTTTTCATCAAATCAGTTGCCAATCTATCTCAAGACTAATCCAAACTAATCACGGATGAGGAGTTTCAATCAAACAATAAACCAAGTTGCTTAGCTTTGTCACAAAGTATTGTATAAATATGAAGGAATCTAGAAGCTTGCTTTGAATAATAATAGCTAATAAATAAAAATTAACTAAGATTATAAGATTTAAATACAGTCTTAACTCATAGAAACCACTTTCAGTCGTAAACGATTTCTAGATAAAACAATATTTGATCCAAAAATAAGTAAAAACTAATTCAATTCATATACTGCCGTCATAGATTTCTCGAAAGGAATTAGGTACTGAAAGTCTCCAAATTATGAAGTTTTCATGCTAACAGTATTAATGAAAATAACTGCAAGAAAAGATCTAAGAAGCGAAGGTTTTCCTGTTCAAAGCGCAAATTTATATTTGTTACATCATGAAGGTTTCACCGTTGTATCAAATATCAATAAGGACCTGTAAAAGGTTGAGTTGATAGTTGACCAGTTGTTATGGTCAGTAATGCTAAATAACTTGTGAACTAATATCACTATGTTTATATTATCGTCACACATTTTTAAAACAATGAATCGATCAATGTTAGACCACCATTAGAAATATGGAAGCACTGGACGGCCGTTTCGTCCTGGTATGGGACTCCTCAGCAGTGAGCATCCCCGACTCCTGCACCCCGCAGGATTCGAACCCAGGACCTTCGTTATTGTGCGAGAACGCCCCAACCGTTAGACCAGGACGAAACGGCCGTCCAGTGCTTCCAGGTTTCTAATGGTGGTCTAACATTGATCGATTCATGGTTTCAAAAAATCTGTAACTTAACAATCTTCACAATCCCGTAATGCATATATCATCGTTCACAAATTACGATGCCCCAAGAACCATAGTACAAAATTGCGAATCATTTAATTATGAACTAAAATAGTACTCATTTCCCAAATCAAATAGTTAGACCGTGTACTATAAATGACTTATTATGATAGCTTTCATTCAATTATTTCTAAAGATTCTTAACACCCATTCACTGTACGTCGAGTAAATATCATTAAACATATACTTGCGAAGGGATTTGAGTAACTTTTATTGCTTGCAATTGACTCAAGTACTGTTATAAGTTAATATTACTTTTGTGTTCATTCGAAATGTCGCCACTATAACACCTGAAACAGTTACATATAATTTCTTAGATTTTGGACAGTTAAAAAATTTCACAAACTTTTTTATCACTAAATGTAATTTTTGAAGTTTTCACAGATTTTTTAACTGTTAACAAACACTTTATAGTTCAGAAATAATATAATTTCATCAGTTTACTTCACCATGATTTAAGTACTTTTCGTTATTGGTTACTATTAAATAATTTTAAAACTTTATATTTTGAAAATTATTACAAAATGCACACTAGATTGATTACACGCCTGATCAGGTTGATAGCAACTGTCAGGTGACAATAATCTGACTTAGTTAGTCTCACTACATCCGGATGAATATTAATTCCAAATAACTTCGTTAAGCGCAAATTCGATTTAAAAAATACTGAACAATGAATATAATGAAGGACATAAAAGCTTCTATTCACTCATGTTATACTACAACATTTGGCATTTGTATACAGTCCCAAACAGAATATACGTCCGGTAGATGTGAAAAGTATTAATGCACTTGAAACATTCTGAACATTTAACATTTCAGCTTATTTATTTGCGTCAGTTCACTGAATTGATGTTGCCATTTAAACAAGAGTTAAGTTGAATGGTACTGAGAAGAATACGGCTTCTCGAAGAAAAAGCAGGTATAACAACACGAAATTAGCATTAATAATGAAATGCAGTCGAGTTACTGTCTCATGTTTGGATATCTAGTAGCTTCTCAGACTTCAGCTAAACTTATCATACCGAAAACAATACGAAAACTTTCAGCTTGTGAGCGCAGATATCACCATAGTTGCAGAAGGCTAAAGTGTCAAAGTACTGAATGATAAGACCAATAATATATTGTGATTTGAATTCTTTTTAGTTATGACATTTACCTATACACTTTTTAACCTTTTAAACTTTGGCACACGTGACAATCAATAAAAAGGACATCAGCTGAAAAGCCATTAAAAGCCAGAAAGCATTAGATAGCTGTTTCTTCCCAGTTTAAGACATCTATGTAGTCACACTCCGTTCGAAGTTTGAGTTTCGCGACCAACATTACATACCCCTCGATTATCACTAATTCTTTATTATTTTGATTCAATGGCGAAAACCTTATTTATACCATACACTTTTTAGTATAAAGCCATCAAGTATCTTTACTAAATATAAAGTTACATAAAAGTACGCCAGTATATAAAACCTGAGGAATTATTCGATAAAATTCCTGTTCGTGTAATAGTTCGGATATAAAAACCAGTAACAATCAACATTTTTGACAAAATAATCACTATGAATCAGATTAGAAGGTACGAGAGAATGCTTATAATAATAACAACGGATAAACAGTAAATGCTAGAAGTCACTTTAGTCATTGTACAGAAGTTTTGTATAGTTTGAGGGTAAATTTTACCATCAACTAATATTAACTGCAATTAACTGACGATCTCCCATTTGTTTCATGAGCTCTTAGTAGGTGGTTACCAGTGCAAACATTAGGATGAACTGCCTGTTTCCTGTAGGTATGAACCTATTTGAAAGATAACTTTTTTGACCGATAAAATCAGTCCTAAAGTTAGAACGACAATTGTTCAAATATCACTAGAAACTTCAATTTCCCTAAAACATCAGATATTACTGATAGGTAAGAACTAACAAACAAACACACATTTAGAAATTCCGGCTGATTGCTTCCATCCATCTAACACGCTCACATAGTGATGTTCCTGTACACATAGATGTAGTAAAATAAGGTATTTTCATTTTTAACAATCAATTTATTTGACTTCTTCCGTGATTTTATTTTAATGACTAAGTGGTAAAGAGTACGCAAAAAGGTATACGTTTAAACCATTGCATAATCAGTATTTTTTAATGAAATGATCATTGAATTTTTCCATGATTATCTTGATTATAGATGATCATCATTGTTTAAATCATGTCAATTACACCTGATATAATTTATGATAAAATTGTTACATGCATTCAAAAACCACCAAATGAAAGAACTACAGATGAAATCGAAGAAATTTATCCATGGTTTATTGAAAAAGTGAAATTTTTTTCAAATCTAAAATCTGGTAGTGTTGTGCTGTTATCGATAAATTATTGATCATTTAGATGTAATCAAAGATATCATTAAGAATTGTGAATTCTCTGAACGTGAAACTGATGATATAATTATACGTCAGTTTGAAGAAGGTGATTGGTTAGTTGTCGTGCCTTATATTTAAATTTTATTTTCTAATTTGAACTTCATTATATCATTATTTTATTTTTTACAAGGAATTATATTCTTATGATTGCTTTCATATAGGTATATTGTACAGTTGAAAATAATAAGCATTATGGGGTTGTGAAGATTGTTAAGTGTTTTTGAAACCATGAATCGATCAAAGTTAGACATTAACACCGTCAGACACCGGCTCAGTGGTCCGATGGTTAGGCGTTCGCCTACAAAACCGAAGGTCCTGGGTTCGAATCCTGCGGGGTGCAGGAGTCGGGGATGCGCACTGCTGAGGAGTCCCATACCAGGACAAAACGGCCGTCCAGTGCTTCCAGGTTTCTAATGGTGGTCTAACATTGATCGATTGATGGTTTCAAGAAAATAATAAACATTAATCTGAAGACAATAAACTCACTGCTTGAACTGAAGTCAACGGTTTGACGCTTGAGGTTATTATCATTGAATATTACTGTGATATTCTTTACTAAAACGAAATACCTTTTATGTTGCTCTCTGATGTTAACGATTCTTTGTATAATGCGATTTCGTGTAATAAACTAGCTTCTAAGTAAAATAAAAACAATTTTTCTTCTGCCGACTCTGAAAGAGTGAACTATGTTGGTTGTTTTCACATAAAACAAATACTTACACGTTTTCAAATTGTATTCAGACAAAATATGTACATGTTCAGATCATATGAAACTATTTCTACTGGACAGTTTTATTGTTGAATTTTTTCGCATCTGATGTAAATTAGATTTTCGCTAGCTTTACAGTATTAAGTGGGGATATTTCCGTTTTGTGCAACTTTTGACTATGAAAATTTTACTGCAGTTATCAAGATGCATAATTTATATGCTTGTTACCCTGAAGTTGGACAAAAGTTTGGTTATATTCGATCCTACTGACTGATATGAATAGTGAATTTTACCTGCACTAATCACAACAGTAATTTCCTTCATTTTGAGTTCCAAAAATAAACAATTTATTGGCACTTCACCAAAGGGCTGAATGTATCCAGAGTCAATCCCTTTTTTCTTCGTTTATATAACAGACTACTGGTACTGTTTTACCATCAGCAATAGAACTATTTATTACTATAGAGAAATAAATCAAAAATTAACTGTGACAACCAGTGAACGGCAAATTCCACCTTACATGAAGAACAGATTAGTATACGACAATCTAACTGCTAATAAGTTTTGTAAGTGTTTATCTCAGTTTTCAAAAACCATCTTCATTATCATTAAAGAAATGAAAATTTATCATGGATACTGAACTTCAATTAAATACGTCAAATATATTGAACTTCTATTGAGTATTATGCATATATAATTAGTACATATTGAGTAAGACTGTCACTAAATGCTTTTAAAAAAAGAACTAAAACTATAGTCATTTTTTTTAACATTTCAATGAGTTTACATGTAAAATTAATTAGAAAATAATAATGTTTTTAATCATTTGACACTTTAAAAGAAGTGATTAGTAAATAAAATGTTCAGTAATTAAAAGTAATTTGTATTTATCTGAATGACAATTGATTGGTTATATTTTTTTTGCATAGAACTAAAAGACTTGACTAAGGTAGCTATAATTATTTAATCAGAATGTCAAGGATCTTTTTGATGATGTTTCAGATTAGTATATAAATCTTTTTAACTATGTATATCAAAAAAACTGGTCAAGTATGTAGTGTGATAGTAATCTGCATAAAGTAATACATTTCTGTTTGCTACTACAGTATTAGATTTTAAAAATATATATAGTATTAACAAAGTAGTAATTAGTTGCACTTGGATAAACGCTTAAGAAACCGTTTTGAGGTTATCGATCAGATATTATTTATTATTTGTTTCTGTCACCTTGGTTATCCTTAATATTTACCAAAAAATAAAAATTAAATTACTATTTCGTTCAAACAATATATATATATATATATATATATATATAGATTGTATGTTTTATGAATTAATTTAAATTAGGTCATAGTTTACTGAATATAAGTGAACTTACTTAACTGACTACATATATATATATATATATATATATATATATATATATATATATATATATATAACAGTACTTTACATCTACTTATGTGGTCAGTAGCGATGGAGACAATTTTATATGGTTAATAATACCTATATAAATCAATCAATACTCACTTCTAATAAACTAAATAATATTTAGTACCGAACAAAGTTAGTTATAAGTCTATGTATACGATTGATAACACTTAACGATAAGAAACTATACCGTTATTGAATTAAAGTCACGTTTCAACAAATGAATCTGTCATAAATGTTTTATCATTTTCAACTCCTAGTTATAAGAAGGACTTTTTAGAAAGTGAACTAAACATTTATCCTCTTCAGGTGCTTTTGGAGTAATGTTAATCAATCCTATTTACATAAGAGTTTATGGAAAGACCATTAATACGTTTCTACAACCAGGTTTCCCTTGGTCAGATGAAGAATTTGATTATATCTTAAACGAAACTAATCTGGTAAAATTAAAGTCACTATGTCGTAGAATATTAGTTAATACTTCGAAAAAATTGTTGATCGAGAAATTAGTATAGTCTATACTAACTGACAAGAAGCTAAGTATCTAAACAAAAAGTCAAGGGTCTTTGTGCCGAATTCGATGTCTTGCATGAAAGTTCACTGTAAAGGCGATACAACTGGAAATATTTTGTGGCGAAAGACCTCTAAGGAATCCTATTTTCATTACTGTCATTTAGTAGAATCATATTTATCAACAACGTATAGGCCTTGCAGTAACATTTGACCATTTAAATAAGTATTTATTAACTAAACAACTCATAACGAGCAACATATACCATACATTCGATGAAGGCCCTATCAAGTGAAAACTACGAACACTATCCTTCGTATCTTAAGAATTGAATAAGTGATTGACTAAGACATCTGATAATGTACCTCTTTGTGGGCTAGGATCATTCCGTTATAACATACTGTTCATTCACAATCATCGATAATGTTAACAAAAACCTGATAACATCAGTAGGTTTTCATGTTATTTGAAGTCTTTTTTACATATAAAGCAAAATCTGGATTACGTTTATCAAAGTAAATTTTTCTCCGATCATGTTCTTGACCTCTTTCTATAATAAAGTGTCGACGTCCGACTCCAAACTCATTCACAGTTTTTTCTATAACCTTTTAAAAACTTTATTGCGCTTATATTAATGCTGCCCTATTAACGTAACTTTCACTTCCTATCAAGTCATCGTAATATAATCGTCCAATTTATTGAGATCGTCACTTGCTATGTTTTGACTTTTAAAAAGAGCAACATACATTTTAGTTCCTCTTTGAATTTTTGTTCTTCTTTTACTGTTTGTACAAAAATGGAGGGATCGGGAACTTTCGAGGACGTAGGAATTTATCTCTATTATGTTATAGCTATTCAAATTTTGTTGATACTCTGATTTGTACAATATCGTAGGTACTGAAATCTATAAATCTTCCATTTCTTCTCATTTCATCTATAAGTTAATTATCTGACAGGTGTGAAAACATCAAACTTCATTTATTGTTTGGTCGCTGTTAAAGTATGCTCTTAATATTAGGAAATTAGAGAAGAATGGTTTAGTGTTTAACAGTAAATGTTTTTTTAATCAAAAGACTGGTATTTAAACGCTTGGTTGGAACATGTGCTGCGTATGCCTAACCACCAACTGCCTCGACGAGCTTTGTTTTGTAGTGTAGGAGTAGGTTGGAAGAAAGTTGGTTGGGGTCCGCGAGATGATAATAATCGATGGTTAGAGACCCTGAATGACATGGCTCAAAACCGTTTGCAATGGCGCCGGTGTATTTATTCTTTGTGTTCTCTCAAATCCTAATCTTCTGGATTCTTCAACACCTCTATTTTTGTCTTTCTGTACTTATCTCACTGAATCATACTTCTTGAATAATATCTTTTAATCCTAACCTCTCCTATTACTTCCAATACCTTTACTACCTCTACTACTATTGGATTTGAATTGACAATTACATCTCTGTGTTAATGTGGTATGACAACATGAACTGATGTACTTAGGTACGAAGTTCTACATTGCATCTGACTGACTGACTGACTGACTGATTTAAACGCTTGACTGAAACCTATTTTTAAGTAAAAACTATTAGAAGAAATACTCATTTCTAGGACTTTACAAGATAACACAAGTAATCTTTTTTCCACAACAACTTCATCAGTTTCTTTTTTATACTACAAGTATACTAACAGGTATTATATTCAATTAAAGATACATTTGTTAGTGAAATATATAATAATTTGCGAACTTTTATGTTTCTATAAGGCAGATATGGCAATTGAATGTATCGAATTTCCAAAGTACAAATATTTATTCATTTAAATTGCCTGTCGTCTCAATGTCATCATGATTGGTTTACAAAGTAATTATGAATTATACATTGATTATGTATTTTTATGACACTGATCACAAATACATAAAAATATATGAGACAGATACAACAGTCTTTCTCAATAATCCTTTTAAACTGGACTACAATCTCTTTCAATCTACTTGTATATACTAATGAAACGTTCTACACGGAAAAATTCAGATTATATGGAGTGCATTGTAGCTAGTTCAAAAGTTCATTTCAGTATTGACGATATAAATCAAACAAATTCGACTTTATAACGGTGTATTCCAACTACTTAGCAAACTATTTTAATGTATTATACATTAGGATAATATCTTGGAAAAAAATTACATTTTATTTGACAATTTTAAAACTAAACCTAATTTAATGTTCACAAGTAGTAGCATCAGGAATTTAAGCGGTCTTTGTTATTCTTAATGAACTATGGTATTGTAAACATCAGGTTTTACTTGGAAAACATCAAGAGAAGGTACTACGTGTACTAGTACAGAATCCCAGTACTTCATGATTCGATGCGAGAAAAGAAAGTTTCGACATAAATAATTTAGAATAATAAATAATTCATAATTTCATCTCTGTAGTAAATGTTTTGATTTAACTTGAAAACAAACTCTACCGCAATTATAAATTCAAAGGTGAATTTATCGAGAACATTGCACTAGTCAAATGAAAATTAATTACAATAGATTAGTAGCAGATCATTTTAAATTAACTTATCACATAACTTTTATCCACAATTTTGAAACTGTTACATTACAAGAACATTCAGTAATTAGGTAATAATAATTAGTGGATTGTTTTAATTTATGTGATGCATTTTTCATTCGTACAATTATATTTTCATGTATTTTTTTTTTTTGGAAAATATTATTTATTGATTTTTTTATAGCTTTTATATCATTCTCTCTGGTCAAGTATCAATTTATGTGAATACTGAACTTGTACATGATGATCAGGAAAAAGCTCCTCAACAAGATAAATTTCTGTCCCCAATCAAACAGTCAACAGAGCGTAAAGCAACTAATCGAGAAAAATGTGGAAACTATGTTGTTAGTTGGGGTAATTACATATATATGGATTTTCATAGATTGTTTTTTAAGTGTGAATTATAAACCCTTAGTTTTTCAAACAAAGCTTCTCTTACAAAGACTAACTAATCATACTTCTGAAGGAAGTATGAAAAATTATGAACTGTTACAAAATGATTTAGTCTTTCAGTATGAAGTTGAAATATAGAACAAAAACAACTAATTTTTAATAAACTTTTATATTTCAATCTCTACCTCATTTCGAGTACTCTTAAGCATAGAGTTTTTTCTAAATATCTGATTCTAGCCTTATTTTCAAAGAGTTGCTTGTTGAGAGATTAAAACTAGGAGAAACTAAACTGCAAACTTTGTATTGAGAATGAGAAATATCGGTTTCTGTAACTGGAATAAGCAGTAGATTTTATATCCTAAGGTTTAATTTACAAAGTCTTTGACCTAGTTATATAAAACTTTGAATGTAAACAAGGTTTCTGCTTTTCTAGCATTTTAACGATTCGTAATGGCAAGTAACTGATATACTTAAAGTCAAACGTAGTAATGGGGATAAAATGCAGTGGGTTCAACTAGTATTCGAAAGTCTACCAACTGGAAGCCAGAACATTACTGTTTTACATGCACTGAAATTGCGAAATATTTAAATTTTCTATCCTCATAATAGTACTAGGATCTAACTTTAAGTTAAGGTATGAACCGGTTTAAAAAGAATTGATTTCTACGGAGAGACTTTTAGAATTGTTAACGCACTAAGAGATAAATTATTAGCATTTGTATAACTACTATTTTGACGATGCCATTATACAAACTAACTAACTAGCCGGTTTTTAAATAAGATTCAACTAACTAACTAATCAAAACAATAGACGTAACCATAATTATACATTAGGTTATCTTTCAAACAGTTAATAATCTGAACACGTAATTAGGAGATTTGGTAACAGAGTAATAATTTACTAACTTACTTTATCACATCAACTTATTTAATTAGCAAAGATTGGAAACAGAGATGCTGACAAATAATTTGTTATTCTCAAAAGGGATTAAATATTTCTTCAATGTTCCAGATATCCCTCTATTGCTAGTGCTAAAAGGAAGTTTGACTTCTTTGTTCTTGAAAAGTTATTGGTTTGAAAAGATATATAATATCTGAATGAAGATAATAATTTCACTTTTGATGAAATTTCTCTTCACTGTCCTAGATTTCAGTCAGTAAATAAAAGCAAAATTAGAGCTAATAAATCCCAAAACGAATTTAGGCTCAATGATCAGATGTTTCATCGTATTTTCTTATTAGTTAAGCCTCATTTTTTTCTACTGAACCTTATTAAAGGCCAGAATTTGTTCTGATTTCTCATTCAGTCATAACTATGATTATTATTATTAACGTCGACTTATGTTTTATAAATCATTCGTTTACCAGTATTTATTTTTTTTATGTTACAATGTTCAGGAACTGGAGCAAGTTTTGGCGAATTAGCTTTAATCAGCAAAGATTGTATAAGAAATGCAACAGTAGTTGCAGACTGCAAAACCCATTTAGCTGTTATTAATAGAGTAACATACAATCGTTCACTAAGAGATGTACATGAAGCAGATTTCAAACAACGTATTGAATTTATTAATAAATGTCCAATTTTTGATGGATGGATTCAAAGTTTGAAGAAACAAGCAGCAATGTCTTTAGTTAAAACGGATTTCCCATTTGAAGCAGACCTTGTTCGTCAAGAAGAACCGGTGAATGGATTATTGTTTATACTTTCGTAAGTGTTACTTGACGTGTAAGTAGTGTCTATTACTGTTTTGTACATTAAAATCCAGAAGAACTAGAGATATTTATTGAACTTTCAGAATTCGTCATTAGTTTACTTTTGTATGGATTTTAGACATATTAATAATGTTGTTTAATAGATGAAATACATAATTACTTTGGTTATTGTACTGTAACAAAGAGTAACTGTAAGAAAAGGTCAAACGGGCGACCTCAAAATTAGTAAATTTAATCGACAATAAATCGAAAAAACAAAATCATCAAGGAAATGAAATTTTACGTTTCTGAAAAGATGAATAGTAGAGTTTCAACCATAGTGTAGAAAAACATATTGCACTCGAAACAACTTTTGAACTTGAGAAATGCTTAATGTGATTTAAAGAAATCAAATAGTAACTCGTCTACTTAACACTGGTGAACACTTAACTACATTTCTAGATGTAGATCGGTGTCTAACACATATGTTTATACGAGCGGTTTTGATACTGATTTGTTCATACACACTGATCAATAGTGATCAAAGTTAGATCATAGGTAATGTATACGATTGACTTGATTTGTTCAGAAATGCTATCTTGGTTTCTTTGTTTGACTAATGATAATATTAGTCTATTCTGATAATATTAACAATCACAAAATTCATGCCGGTTTTACAGGCACACTTGATCTAGAAATAAATGCTTAATGTAGGGGATAGATAAATCAAGTTACGTATCAAACTAATTACCCGATTTTCGTTGAAAATGGCTAAAGAAAACTTCTATTTATAAAAGTATAATAGTTATGTTGAAAGATCATGCTTTGCAGCCAACCAACGCTTCAATCAGATGCGATAATTTTATTACAGTTTTCTTTGATTTTGTGTGATGTTTGAATAAACATCTTGATAGTGTTTAGCAATATTCTTCTCTGGTGATTCAAACAACAATATGCAGTAGAACTTCCTTCTCTGAACTGGATTTTTTGGTTGTAGAGCTTTCTTATTTTATTTTCGGTTTTCATTTTTACCTAACCACCTTACAATATTTCAGACAATCTTTTATTTAAACCCAAACACAACGTTTCTTCGTTATATATATATATATATATATATATATATATATATATATATATATATATATATATATATATATGACACTGACTTTTGTAAACTCCATTTTACTTTTGTAGTGGTCAAGCTCAAGTCACTGTAGATGTTCTTAAGCATCCAAAACAGTATCCTGATTTAAAACTCACTGCATATTCTGTCAGTTCAACAGAAACCAATAGTAACAAACTGATCCACACTGAAATGTAAGTTATACAGTCGCTTCGCTTTTATTATTGATTTTAAACTCTTATAAATTTGATAATAGGCATCACTGTTACATTTAAGTATGTTTATTAGGATTTCAAAAGTATTTGATTTGGTCAAGGAAGTTGAGACATACACTTCAATGGATAAATCAAATCACAAAACCAAAGCAAAATAAAAGTACGCGCCGTAGTCAAGAGTTATATATATATATATATATATATATATATATATATATATATTTGTTGACAGATAACTACATATTGCTATGTGTACTAAAACATTGTTTAACTAATTTTCAGTTCAAATTATCCAGTTCGACGTATGGGATACATTGTCAATGAAAAACGTAATGCACTGAAGAAAATAGAACTATGTATAGTTGGACCTGGCACTATACTTGGTTAGTCATTTGTCATCGAATTTTATCGAATACATTCATATCAATCTTTTTGATGAATGACTTCAAATCATATTATTCATTGTTCCCTTCATATTTTGCTGTATTTTAGATTAAACTTTACCTATAAAAATTATTTTTAAAATATATTTGAAATACATAGTATATAACCTGCCCAAAATCACTTCAGTAAATATTTCAGATTTTCAGAAAATAGTCAGTTGTTGATCTACTTCCTTTGACTAAGTTCACACTATATTTTACAGCATATCTAAGAGATTCACTGATACTAGGTTTTCTAATAGTGATTTTCCGAATATTAACATCAATTTGCTTTATGCAGTCAAAAAGACCAAACTTTTTGGGTTAAAAAATGACTAAATGTCCTTAGAAATTATATTTGCATTTGGACAACAACAATCAAGATCAATACCTTCTAAAAACAAAATAGATATCCTTTGCTCACATTCTCTAGATTATATTACTTTTTGAAAACAAAAACCTATATTTCGACACAAAATACTTTCAGCCTTAACACTGAATCTAGACTAGGAAAATCCGCCATACTTGAAAAGTCAATTGTGACAATCGAAATTTGTTGATTATCTTCTTCAAAATCCATGAACTAATTCAAATCCATCGGATCAGTCTAATTTCAGTCAAAGAAACCAATATTAATAATAAATCTTCTCTGTGATAGCAAAATCGTTCCGCACTTTTTTTGACACCATGTTGAATATCTAAAGAATCTATCACACTACTGAATGGTTCTGAGCTTTTAGACCATCGACTTTTGCGACGCGTCTAAAAACCATGTCAGCATTCAGCCCTACTATTCTTGCTTCCATATCTACACTTAGAATAAAAATGATAGTTGGTGATAATGCCAACTGGAAGTATTTTCACTTTGGATTGACTTAGAAAGCATGTAGGTTTATATAATGAAGCCAACTTTAGTAGATGAGAATAGACGATTTTGCGAATAATTGACTGTCCCATCTACATAATTCTATGATATTTAATGTAAAGAAGAGGGTTTCATTTACGGTACTAGTATGTTATTTTGCATTTTGCTCACATCAGAAAATTTAGAAAATTAACTTTGAAATACTTTCTCTTTGGAAAATTAACTATAGTAAACATCAGTTAGACTGGAAAGCTAAGAAATCTCATGAAGTGTTACAGAAACTAGCGTGCTTAGTCTAGTAGACCAGATTTCAATTGAGTTAGATGTTTTATATATAGATAAAGTTGGATTATATCTGACGAACGAGATTTCAAATTTTAGATTTAACTCTCAAAGTAACCTACATAGGATGATCATGAAAATGAGACGTTGAAGAAATACTCGTTTAATGAGCAGACAAAAATATTCATTCTGAGATAAACTAGTTCACTACTAACTTTTCTACAGTTTAGAAAACGAAGCTCCTCTTCTTTAAAACCTTAACCACTCATCATTTCGACCCTTCAAATGGTTTTTGTAAGTACTTGTTCTTCAAACTTTTAGTAGCTCCTTATAAGTTTTTAATTTGTGTCTCGAGTATATTTTTAAACTATTCACAAACAAAACTAGGAATATTAAAATTTTTTAAATTGCGCAAATATTTTCCGACTAACAATTTTGCTAGAGAATCATAAAATATTCATCATGTGATTTTTTTTCTAGTTTTTAAGTAGGAAATTCAATTTCTAACAAACCTTTCTATCTATTTATTCAGCCGGTTAGAAAAATGACAGCTAACAGATTGGGATCATTAAGATGTAATTATTATCATTAACATGTATGAAGAAACAGTTAGATACAAAAAGAGGATAAACTGTATACTAAATATGCTGTAGTTAAATGTTAACTAAAGCAAACACACTGAAAAAAAATGATTGTGAAGTAATATCAAAAATGTATTCAACCAATCTATTACTGCCAAAATGAGCATAACTAATCCACTGTGGTTTGTAAAATTACATAATACAGTCAGAAAAATTTTACCATACATGATAAACGTCATACATATCGAGAAATTTTCAAGTCCCAAAGAGAAATTAAAATAACTCATTCTTCAGTGTCCAAATTCTAATATATATAAATAAATAAATAAATATTTTTAACATTGTTTTGATTTGATACAGGTGAGTTTGAATATGGCTTTAATCTAAAAACATATATGCAAACTGCTATTTGTATTGAACCTACATCAGCCTATGTACTAGGTGGAAGAAATTTCGATCGTTTAATACAAAGTCGTCGTAATCCAGAAGGTTTAAAACAAATCCGAGAAATAGCTGCTCGAAACATTTTATATCGTATAAATCGACCAATCGATTCGAAAATTCCTCTCTTTCGCTTTTTAGCAAAACAAGTTTATGAAGCAAATTTAAAGGTAATCGAAATTTATGTACATTCAGCTTTTCAAGTAAAGTTTTACAGTCTCTAAGAAATTTTTGAATTAACTCTGTTATGCTCGACTCTAGGTATGCTTAAACTATTAAGAGTTCACCTTAGTCGAATAACGAGAACAAAACAATGAACCAGTGTCCAGGTAGGCTACTATGATCGCTTGACCAAAATGAATCAGCAAGAAGTTTTAATATGGTGTAGAAATTGTATTCTACAAACACCCAGCCAGCACACAACAAACCCAAGCACTCAAATCGCGTTTATTTATACTCTATAGAGACGTCTTCGGGACAGTCACAAAAATAGCACACTAAAATGACACAGTAACCAATCACAGCCAAGGATTTTCCTGGTGGGAAATGTGATCTCAAGGTGAACTGATCGGTCCATGAAATAAATCCAAAATAAGGATATTTATCAAGCGAGTTCTGGGGATCTAACATCCCCAACGAACTCGTTTATTTTCACTGCATAATTTAACACACCGTACAAAACTAAATTAATTATGCTGATATCATTGAAACTATACGCTCAATAATCTAATATTGTAGCAAGTTTAATAATAATTGTATACAAAAGACAAATAGAGCGAAGAAATACTTCTTTTCAGCTCGTTTTCTGTTATACTTCTACATAGCTTTACTATCTTTAACAATATTAGGATCGATACAAATCAATAGGTAGTCGGAGAAAACAACACTATAAATCAAATAGTGCCAATGAAACTAACTAAATTGTTAGCAAAATAAATCAAAGATGAGGCGTTTATAATGGTTAGTATTCGAATACATTAATTCTTGGGTGGATATAGATGCAGATTGGATGATATAATATAACTGAATAAGTAATAAAAGTTCGACAAGAAATTTAATACTAATAACCTTTATATAAGTATTAAGAAGATGATACTGTTACGCAACTACAAAGCGAATAAAAATTTCCATAAGAAGGCATTAGTAATAGGAACTGTATTATAAACTATCAATAACCTGCTCTGATTTTGACCATCATGTTGGTCTAAAGTAAGAGGAAAGTTATACAAATTTCTTACTGACGCAACTATCAGGTATATATATTCAGAAATCAGAATGATACAATGAATAAATTCTAGTTTGTTAAAATACACTTTTGTTGTTCATATAATCGGGGTAGATGGATGTAGACTTTTCCAAGTTATCTAGCTATGAATAAGCGAATGGAACTTTAACTCTTCACATATATCTTTGTTAACTAGTTCACAGAATTACATAATCCACATTCTCACTCTTCAAGCAATTACAGAAAATTTTGACAGTACTGGATACTTGTTTTAATACCTTATACTTTAAAAGTTTTACGGCTTCATATTACAGTTTCATGGGAAAAATAATTTTAAAATGGACTAATTCCATTTTTAACTATTGACTGTTTTTATGCTTAAGAGAACACATTTTATTCAGAAAGATTACAACATATATTTGTTGACTTATCCCAATTTTAGTTACAAGAAGAACAACGTGAAAAAGCTTTGGCTAGACGAAATAAACTAAATTTGGAAGGGACTAAAAGTTTGTTTGAAAGGGAATCAAAAAGTCATCGACAACAATATCAACAAGAACGAATGCAAAGAAACATCAGACCTAAATTACAAAAAGTAAACTTCTAAAATGGACATTTATTAATTACAATGTAATCATAATCAACAAAATTTTTAAATAATTTTCCAGTTGAACCAGTTGAAATAGATTAGATTGAAAGTAATTTCCTTAAAAGGTTCATATTCAACTATTTTTGTGATGATAAGTTTTATAGTTTTAGATATATCTTTGAAATCTTGAAGTCATCCATTAAACCAACTATTTCCAAAATAGTGTGCCATTTTTTTTATTTAGATGTTTAGTTTAAACAATTATTAATTAATCCTGGGAATTTTTTCGTGAAGGCATTTCTCTTTAAAACATCTTATTCATGTTAAACAGTTACTAAATCATTCATATGTACGATTATCAAACATTAAAACAAAGAAACCAAGCTACTGAAGTTCTTTTTAATTTTGAGAAACGTTAGTCTTTGATTTTTTTTCTCTAACAGTTCATGCTTTCTTCTTTACTCCATGGGAAATGTAGAGTTTTTGAAAAGTGTAAATCTTTTCCAGTTATACTTTCCTCCTTATACTAACTAAACATAAAAGTTTATTTACAGTTAAATGTACTATTCAAGACAACATTAGCTTACTGGTATATTTTTGAAAAGCAATGCAGAATAAATTTTAGCTGGAGGAAAGCAGTTTAATAATTTATCTAACCATATAATGACTTATTTGTCACTTCCTTCCTCTTTCTAAAACGCTGTTTTAGATATAACAACTCATTTGTCATTTTTATATTCATCAGAACTCAATGAATTATCATGTATTTATAAGCGTTTCTCATAGTTGATTTATCTCTTAAAAATAACGATTATTAGAGAATGACTAAAATCTTTTGAATAAAGATATTAGTGAAAGTTTAATAACTGAAATACAGTGTTATAATTCTTTAACTTAATCAAGCTGTTTTCAAAAATTTATTTTAAAAGACAAAATATTGTTGGATTGTTTATAGCATATTTTCACCACTGAAGGCAGTTAAACTTCATCTCCATTTGATATAATCAACACTATTTACTACCTAAATTGGCTTCTTCAACATTGAAGATTGCAACTCGTACGATGTCTGCTTTTTTTTCCAAAAATTGAAAATTGTGATTGCCAAAATACTTGACTAATTATTATTCATGTATCTTAAACACGTATCTTTTCTATGAAATTTTCATTTTAGAACATGTAAAATTTCTATGACAAAATATAGATTTTTGTTTTTGATTTAATCTTTCTAAATAATTAATACTTGATTGTTAAACTTTTGTCATCTAAAAGCTTACTTCTTAGATATTTATATTTTCCATTATCTCCTCCCTGTACTGGTTGACTCGCTTTTTTCCCTTGTTTATTTCAGTTTTCTGTGCGATGACAAAATCGTCTATTGGAAAATGTCAAATAAATAACATGATACATTGAACTCTTTTTATTTGTTCACTGGATGACGATATCTTCTTTTAGTAGTAAATTGATTACTCAAAACAAAAAAATAGAAAAACAAAACTAAAATCTTTTGCTACTACACTTGTGTCAAATGTTACACATTGAATAACTTTTCTTTAAATTTCGATGTAAAATTGAACGGTTTTTTTATTATTGACAGTGAGCAAAAAATGCTCTTGTTTTAGACATTAGTCAAAGCTTTTTGTTATCTTTACTACTTTCTTTTAATGCTCACTGTAGCTAAGTATCTTTTCAAAAGTAAAGGTAATTAGCATTAGCATATTTTTTAATCATGCGTTTTTAATAAACAAAAATTGGCTTTGATTTGTCTTTTTACGAGTTTTACTATACATCTGACCAAAGAATGATAGGAAATACAAACATATAAGTCAAACGATAATGGTTGGAACAATTGCATTATTTTACGAGTTGTTTTAATATCGGTCGATATATAAGAAGAACTATGCTATTTGAATTCAAATATAGTATTACTTTTATGAAATGTGATATGATTCTTTCGAATGTAAGTTATCGTATGTCACCTTTGCGTTGTGCACAAATTTAATGAGGTTTGTAGAACAGGAGAATAATATTTTTGTTTTATGTACTTTTTACTGAGTGTGCCTCTTACATCACATCAAATTATCTACACGTGAAATTAGATTGAATCCTTAAAGAATTGATGAAATCATTCTAGAAGTAAGATTTCCTTCCTGCCATTCACTATCTAAAAACTAAAATTTTAGGAACAAAGAAGCTAAAAGTAGTAGGAAGTCTTCCATCAAAATTTAAGATTTTGTTAACAAAAATCTGATGAATATTGGACGTTCGTAGTAACTCACTTTTATCAAAAAATATTGTAGTTTCTTTTACACAGGTTTGGTCCGATAACAGCAAATAGTTTGTTCAATATCTACTAATTTCAATCGTCCTTATTTTCAAATAGGTTTATTTAGATTTGTCATGGAATTCAACTAATTTTAGATTTAGAAAGAGAAACAGTATGAAGTATTAGGTCTGTTTTTGGTGCAATTATTTCCAAACATGTGCCACAACAACAATTTCAAAACTTGTATTTAAAAACGGAAGCCTTTATTGTTTCATATCAACGATAGGCCGTAGCTAGAAACGACAATCGGTTTCAAACTCTTCGTGAAGTTGATCGGCATAAAGCAAATGAAATGGTGGTCTGAAGCCTTATTCATGGGCTATTAGTGGTTTTTCAACATTTAGTTCCATATAAAAAGTACTGTAAATCCTTCCTCAATAAATGGAACAAAAATACAAAATCATTTATCTTCTTACATATGTATCAAGAAATGTATCTTCTTAAGTGATGTAAATCGTCAGCAAGACATAACATTCGTAATAAGAAACATAACTTACTAGACATTCGAATTCAAATGTAATAGTACTGTGATCACAAACATCATCAATGACTTATGTAAACCTTATTACTGTGTCTATATTGCTGAGTCGCATAAATTTAGGTCCTACCAAAGTTTATTACTTTTCTCTGTACATGCATCATAACGGTTTACATCAAAGTTACAAAATTTAAGAGATCATTTTCGTATTACTACTGTACAATTATTTGGGCTTGACAAATTTTTACGTCTAAATTTTGTTGAGCAAAGTATTTCACAGCAAAGCAGTCCTCTTTTAAAATATATCTTAGTCAGAGAGCGTTATGAAATTATTGCCATAACTTGATTTCTAAATACTTAAAACAATGTCGTTATTATAATATCCACTTTTATTCATGTTTTCAGTTTCTTTCAATGAAGCGAGAACATGGATTTCAAACACGACGACAACAAGTTAGTAAGCTACAGAACACTATATCGACATTAAGAGGAGACATAAATTCTGCTGATCAATATCGTAAAAGAAGTACTCAAGACAGTCCTGCTAGCAAACGCTTTAATTCAACTTATTCCAGATATGATACATCTTCTACAGGGGATTTAAATGAACCAGATACTGATAGAACAAATTATTACCAGATGAATGAAAAAATACCAAGTAAGCTTAATTAAAAGAATTTGTTGGTTCGAAATAGATATATTATTTATAATACCTCAGTAAAATTACACATTGTCTTCTCTACGAGTACCTTAATCGAAATTCAGAAAGAACAGTACTCCTAGGATCACAACCTTCTTTATAATAACATATTTTAAACTTTATGAAAATAATTCCGGCTTTAATTTATCTACATCTACTTTCGACACTGGCTGTTTTTCCTTCTATTAATTTAGTCTTTGATGTGCATGTTACTCCTTAAATCTATTTTCATTTTTGTCCGCACCCCGAATTCCCATTTTTGGCACTTGATTCATTTTTGTTGATTGTTAACGTTCTCACTCGATAAGATTAAATGACGTTTTCTGGTTTATTATACGCTTTAAAATTAATTACACATTTACACTATTCATGGACATAATTTAATTCTGACTGCACATTAGAACGAGTAATTGGTGTGCGCATACCTCACGTCCAATTTGTGAATCTTTAATTCAAGTGCTGTTTCCTATAAAAACTTCATAGTTCTAAACAACCCTATTCTTGCAATCTCCGAATTTCACGTTTGAGTCTGTTTTTGAGTCGAAATCCTCTAATGAACTCTAAATTTTTTTTAGAAATAATGGGATTTTTATTCACATTAAATGTTACATAATTTGAAACTATATAGCCAGTATTCGTATAGAAATATCTAGCACTGATTTTATCTTCTCCTATGGTGTGTAATGGTAAGTATTTCTTCTTCTAAGGTTTACTAAACAAGTTACATAACTGCGTTTTTAATTTTTCTATGTTTTTGCCGGTATAATTAAAAGTATATTCTAATCGGCTAACTGGTTACTTATTCCAATCAGCTTTTCTCAGTGTTTTGTCATTACTTTTAGGTTGTTTTAAACTGCAGTAATAAAAATAACTATCTAAAATAGTGTGAAAGTTTTTAGAGAGATCCACTTTAAGGAAAATCTGTCAAGAAAAAATGTACAGCTAATCAAAATGTGAAAGGTGGAAAATATTTTTGAAAGATGTAAAATTAATTTAGCATCAGTTTTATTGAAGTAATAAGTCAAAAGTCTATCAAAAATCTCGTCTTCATCGCACAAAGTAATTTGATTAATTGTTAAAAAAAAAAATAGTTAAAAAACGACAGAAGGCCTGTTCACCACAGTTGGAATATAAATCTGCATATTTCTTTGAATATAAATATCTGTAAAACTGACTTATTTCCACTTAAATGACGTTGAAAATATGCTTCAATGCTGATATGATATCTATACATATCTATACAGTTAATATAAGTAATATGTAGTTTCAGTTTAGCTATTTTATGATCTGAAGTACATGTAGTTTCAGGTAATGACACTTTTACCTTCAATTTTACTGTTAAAGTATTATTATTATTATTATTTTAAATAGGTTTCTCCTTTTATGACTGGGAGACAAGTTCTAAAAATATAAGTCAAATCGAAACTAAATTAAAACGTTGGTATTGCGAAATAGATATCTTATATGATGGAAACTTATCATTTGGACATAGAATTAGTCCATTGAGAAGCTGTGAACAAATAGTAAGTGAAAATACATCGTTTGATTTTAATGCTTAATCAGGGAAATAAAACTCTTATAAACATTTGCCAATTACATATTCAACTATCATAATATTTATATCTAATTTGTTAGTTACAACCATTCAAACTTCCCCCAATAATACATTGAAAATATAGACCATGTGACTCTACTTTATATTAATTGTTGTATCCAGTTTGAAATTTCAACTTTTTAACCTTCACTAAAGCTAAACACTTCATTAATTAATTGCATCAGCTTGTATAAGTAATTTAAAATGAACTTTCATCGATTGCAGAAGAAAGTCTCAATCTACTCCTATTCAGTTTAGATAAATTAAGTCAAAATGCACAATCTTCTCAAACGCGTGTCATAATAATGGTCATGTGAGCATTGATTATTAACTTTAAATCAAATTATGGTAGAATATTGTGATAGATGGAAAAAAATCACGAGGCAGTTATGATAGATATCTTCGATGACTGTAGACGATAATTGAACCATTTCACAAATTGATTTGACTAGATTGAGACTACCGGAACTCAGATTAGTGATTAAAAGTTATGGCGAAATCGGTGAGATTCGATGGTCTCGCATTCAACAATTTTTGGATAGCAGATACTTACTTCTAAGGGGTTAGATATTAGTGCTGAACATTCGTCTAGTATTCACTCATTTTTAAAAGTTCTTCAATTGATTTCAGCTTAAAGTGAAAAATAATCCGATATTATTAACGATATTATTTTCAGAGGTTGACTTTTAGTGCACCACAAAGCAGTGATAACTAAAAACTTTGAACGCTGAAATGGATTATGTCCACGAAAGATCAGTTTCACCGATGATATTTCCATAGCTCCATAATCAAACCTTCCAGCTCGTAGAACACAAAACTAACAGAGTTCGATATTCATCAGCCAAAAAATTAAGATTTCACATATACCATACAGCATTACACTATATATAAGATTCAATCCAGAAACTACTTTCAGTCATTTTATAGCGAATTTATCACTGTTCAAATAGTTCAACCTACTAGCAATGTAAAAAAATAGATGAAATGCAAGTCACCCAAATATTTGACAAAACAAATACCGCACACAAGTTCATAAACTATTTCAATTTTATTTTTAAAAGGTATGAGCAAAATAAATCAGGTTCGAAGGTAGCTAGACTGTTATCAACCCTAACTACTGAAAAAATTAGTCATTTAGGAATTCATTTAGTTCAGCTTATCTTCCCTAATAGGAATGACTAAAAACTCATCACTCTCATTTTGATTTGTCAACAATTTTAATCGAGCAACACGAAAGAATACAGACAACTACACAGTCGAAACAATCAACTAGATCATATAATTTTTAGTTAGGGCACTACCATTTACATTTACGGCTGCTGAGATTGATCACCATTAACATAATATGTGTGAGGAATAACTCATTCATCCATATGATCCATATGTTATTTTTTAAAAATTGATTTCTATCATTTGAAGCTATAAACATCTTCCTTTATCATTTTGATACACCGATTTCTGTACAGTTGATCTGAAAAACTGATATTTCTTTGTTCACTCTTTGAGAGATTGTTAATTTTCTAAGGCACAGTTTGACCAAGCGAATACAGTATATTCACAGAAATAGCAAATTTGTCCTATGATGTTGATTTGTAGACTCGGCATGAAATGAGCTTCTTTCCAACCACCTTATTACAATCACTATTTCTTGAGTTATTATCTCATTCATAATAAATCAATTCTATATACAATCTATAAGTGAATACAAGCTTTACTATTTGTATTTATTTTATTTGTAGAGTCTAGTTAAGAAACTCCTACCTGGTGGACATGTCCTTGTCAGAACAATCGACAATAGCAGTATACTATCAAAGCATTTAGAAACAAATCAGCTTCAAGCAGATGGATTCAAATCAGTTCGTTTTGAAAGTGATAACCACGAAAATGATCTAAGTGAATTGTCTACAAATCAAAACAATGATCTAGTTAATTTAAATTTAGAAGTTGAGATTCCAACTGTAAATGATAATAATAATAATGATAATAATAACAATAATAATAATAATAATAATAATAATAATAATAATGATCACTTAGTAATAGATGAAATAGGAGAAGACGTAGAAGAATGTGAACTTAGTAAGGAGGAAGATGAGAAGAAAGCTATTGAGAATGCAGATGAAAAAAACCAAAATATCACAAATGAGCTCAAATTAATCCTTGATAGAATACGCCCAGTTTCATCAGCTTATGGTTACACATCAACCAATAGGTACGTTCAAAAATAAATCTAATTGTAAATTTAACTCAGCAAATAATTTTGCTGATTTATACATTAACTAGCATGTTGATGGTCATCTGATGGAATTTCACGACAAACTTCTTTTGGATAATCTTTCCTCAAAATCCCTGTCAGAATACGTAGAACTTATGTGGACCTCTTATTCTATTCTTTATCTTTTGCATATTTTTGGTGAAGAGATAGTGTCTCAAAGTTCCGTCTGATCTCTTTCTGAGTCAGTATTTACTTAGATGAACTCCTTGCTGTTCTGTTTACTGCGCGTTAAAACTGTTTTCTAAGCAAAATTATCTGATATAGTGTTTAGTTTTGATGTGCAATTAAGCTCAATATTTTATTAACATAATAAAAGATATCACCAAATTATTCTGATGATGAGAACTTTCTTTCATCCTACAAATAACAATACAAGTATTAGGTATAGTGAATTCACGTCGCTAGTTTTACAACACTTTCAAACAGATAACACCGAATTCTCAATGTACTTCATACTCCAAATAAATCACGTGTACTTTAGATGTAGCTAAACTCCCGAAGATAATCATCCGTCAGATTGCGAAAAACTAATGAAGCCTTATGCGATTACGAATTTAATTTAAACTAGTTAATCTAAAATGATATTTATTTCTGTACCAAAAACTTGAGAGTTTTGTTTGAAGTATAACCATCACAGGCATCATAGACATTTTTACAATTAATCATACATTACGTATTCCATAAACATTATGTGACACATAACTTAATTAGTAGTCCTGTTTACATGATAAAAAAAGTACAACAACAGTAATTACCATAGAAAGTGATGTCAAAGAGCTTTTGTATATATGCAACTACAGATATGAATGATGATACAGTCACTATTAAAAGACGTTTTTTTATTCTAAGATTGTCTTGAATAAGTACTGGTATGGTTGCTTGTCAGGACTACGGAAAAATTTCGATTGACTGCTTGTTGCAGCGAAAATAAACTGATATGGCTTGATGCCGAAACAAAGTCAAGACTGTAGATGAAGACACATTTGTGCGCCAGCAACAGACTCACTGAATATTTAACTATCGATCGAAACAATATCAAAATCACAACAAGTTATACATTTATTTATCGAGACAAATCAGATTTAAATGCATTAAAATAGGTAGTACTTTAAATAAACTAATCAATAACTTGATGTACGTTTGAAATTTACAACACAGGTGGACCAACTACTTTAACTAATTGTTATATATTTTAATCCTTTCTAAAAATGATTAACAGATGCTAAGTATACAAATCATTTTTTACACTTTTAGATCATGTATATCATCAAGAAACATTAAATCAGCTAGAAGTAAGTATTATTACATTTCTAAACTCTTGATATCTCAGTCTATATGGTAGTCAGTTAATTATAAACAATGTAGAACTGGAACAAATGAGCGCCAGCTTGATTAATCACACACCATATTAGTATACTAAATGTAAAGCAATCCAATCATAACGAACATGAAACAGTAAAGATTGATTAATCGGAGTTCTGAAAATCAACAACGAAAAGTTAAGGTAACTGGTTGATGCCTGGAATGCATGGCATCGGGTTCGAGTTCCACTATGAAAATCAGCATTGGGATGCAGAAACATCGAGTTTATGGGTCTTAAATGGGACGATATACATTTCCTAGAATTCACTGCCAGTCAATTACTGAATATGCTAGATAAAAAAAATTGATTAATAAAAAAGGGAAAAATAGTTAAAAGGTGGAAAACATAATTTTAATGAAATAAACAGAAATGGGGGATGACCTTAAGAAGTTATAACTAAGTCATGGAAACAGTATCTTGGTTTCTATAATAATAGTTCAAAGATTCCTAGTCAAACAATATCACTAAGCATGGCTTTAGACAGAACAAAAATAACAATGCTTCTAAAATTAATTAAATTTACTGCATTTCGTTGCTTTCTTCTCAGTTATATATAATTTAATAAGTTCAGTTGGCTTGAATTATTCATATGTTTGAAAATTGTCTATCAGGAAATAGTATACTCTTCTGAAGGCAAAAATTGTAATGAAGTTTCAGTTAGTATTCCAATTGAATCTTATATCCGTTTGAAGTTATAGTTCTAAAATGTTGATAATGACTCTATCATATATTATAGCCAAGCAATTAAGTATAAACAGATATAGGAGGCAAGAAGAAAATATACTTCCAGCTGAGTTCACTGAATTGTAGCCATTATTAAACAAAGAAGAGAACTAATTTGTTCGTGTTGTTCGTCTACGTTATTGAATTATCTGAAGATAAATTACTAAATCCATGTCACTCAAAGCCTTCAACCATAAATTACGACTAAATCACTTCAATTAGAATGTCTGGATCTAATAACGTAGATCAGTCTAGCAGTTATTGAATCGATCATTATTGTTCTATTAAAGAGTTGACGAGTTTTGTTGATAGGCTTTTTAATAAAAAATATAGCTACATGACTTCTCGATCTCCGGGTCAGGAAATATGATTATAGCCAGACACTGTTTTGATTTTCTTTATTCCAGAACCAATCAAATAGCGGGACTTTAATCTATAAATGTACCTACAGGTGGTGAATTTAGTTGATTTCCTTGTTTTTGAGCTTCTTATAAGTGTTCGTTGATTATGAAACCGAAATTTTTAGAATCAACATAAACCGAAATGATTTCATTAGGTTCATAGAAAGAAGGATTAAAACTCCATCTTTCTTAGCAATAATCCCACTAACAGTTCGCTCCTTAATACCCATATTTTTCATTGGTTTGGAAAACTGTTTCATATTAGCCCCCATCATTGTATTTTCGATTTCCTTTGCTTTCGTTTCCTATCACTACTCGTGATGACTGCACAAACTCCCTTCATTCAAAAATTAAAATTATCTGTAGCCTTCATCGGTCTCTGAAACCGCAAGAATGAATTCTTCAGAATACTTGTATGAACTATAAGTTTAATATTATTACCAAAATATCCTTGAAACTACTGATACGATACATTTCTTCGTTAAATCATATTTTGACAAGTGTTCTTACTTGCCTAATTCTTCTTACTCAAAATAAAATGGAAGGTATGCTCTGTGCACTGATGAACGCGTTGTTAAGATAGCTTCACTAGATAAAAATCGTTTGCCTGCTCATGACTGGCTTTGCAATGGATTTTCCTACGGCTTATTCAAAAGTTGTGATCTATGAAGTGAAACAAGAATGATAGGTGGTAACTGCTAGTGACATTGTATGAAAATTGTGTTGATTAGAGAACTAACTGAGTTAAAAAAACATAAACTTCAGAACCTTAATAAGTGTATTAATTATAATGTGTCATTTCTAATCCTATCTGAAGTTCATCTATAAACATATAATCTAATTACTAATTTTTAAAAACTTAATATACTCTACATTATACTTAATATTAAAATTGCAGAATCGAGGAACATAATGTTATTAACTTAGTTTCTATACCATCTGTCTTTAAATAAATGAAGTAAAAGACTTCAAACCTCGTGTCAAGACACTTACCATTATCGAAAATACACACTGTTACGCTATTGTTTCATGAAGTAGTCCTATTTTATTCAGATTTCCTTATAAGTTTAATAAATAGTATCGACAAAACAAATTGGATTCCCAAATGATCGACTGAAATTCCACCACAAGTTAATAAACTTAAGCGATTCCAGTCATACTACAAAATGATGTCTAACATTATGCATTGATTTTTAAGTGAATGAAGTAATCCATAAGTTATAAATACATAGATTTTTGCTACATTCAAATTGACAGCGGATGAAATCAAAGAAACTGAATCACGCAGAAGTACTTTGGCCAGTTCCCGTCTAACCCCGAAGGTAAGAGATGATAAATCTTCATTTATCATGTTTAATATTAGAAACACTTAATATTCCGTATTTTTTATTCAAAAGTTTGGTATATATTGAATAAACATCAATCTTTGAGATCTGTGATTTTATTAGGCTATTTCGAAACAGAGGCAAATAGTTATTCCCCAACTCTTAACTTTAGAACTTTTTTCCAGATGTCATTTCGTCAGAATTATGGCGATCGTTATTTTAGACTAAGATCGTGAATCAGTGATTGTAAGACCACAATTAGAAATCCGGAAACACTGGACTACCGTTTCATCTTAGTGTTGAACTCTTCATACATAAATTATTCTTGTGTATGACAAAATATATATCATGATTCATGGCTTCTCACGAAGGTGGTATCTCAGCTAAAAAAATTTTCGAGGAGAGATTTCACAGGACTTCATTTTAATTTCTGTTCATTTCTGTATGTAATGACAATCAGTATTGTTTATCAAATGATTAACAATTTCTCGTACACAAAGGAAGGCTCAGCAAAAATCTCCTTATCATCAAATACATAACATATCTGCAGAAAACCATTGGTATAACTACAATCTATTTAAGCCGATAAATATTTATTTTTCCCTCAAAACACGTCAGCCATTTTGACGAATACACTCATTTATATAATGACTTTATTCACACTTCATGATTGTTTAATGAATATCACAGACAGAAAAGACACACAGGATTACTACAAAAAAGCATTTTCCTTTTCATACTGAACGCAGTTCACACAAATCTAAGCGAGGAATACTGACCCGAATTAACGTCAGGCTAAAACTAAATCAGTATTTTACTGGATAAAAGATCATACTGAAAATAAAACGGGCTGAGCTATTATCACACTAAATTAAAAACGAAAGTAATATTAAATTAAAATTACATTACATTAAAATATGATCTCATGTCTCATTCAATTCTAAAAAAAATCATCTAATGAGGTGTGATAGACTTATTATATATTTAAGTGACAAATAATTTTAGTGTCCAAATTTCCATTTAAATTAAAAATTGATTGCTTCATACATCAGTTGTGAATACACCAACTACTGACTAATGATTACCCGATATCTGTAAAAACATGAACAGTACATTGCCCCAATATTTGTTCAATTGCGTATTCGCATTAATTCGTAATTTGTTTTTTATATTACTTAGCGTACTCCTGACAGTTATACAATGATTAGAGAATATCGGGGATTGCGTGATCAATTGCGTAAACAAGAGAATGAACTGCGCCGTTTTCGTGTATCACTTCTTCTCTAACAAGATTAATCAACCAGGATTCAAAACTGCCTATCTGCTTGATACTACAAGAAAAAACGTATATCATATAACTTTTTTAGATCAAGTTACAGTGGCTTTAGTCATCCAACATGTTTTTATCGACAATCACATTTTTATGTATTGTCCTAAATTTTTTCTATATACACTGATATACCTAGTGCAAGATTCTATGCGCGATTATACTACCCACGTGTACTGAAAGCTCCCTCTAATTTACATCGATTAGCTTTTTGCTATGATATCTTTTATAGCTTGTGAACTCGATCTTGTAATGGATAGTCAACAAAAGTTCAACCTATACGTACAAGCAGTTGATTGCGAAGCCATAAATAGATAATGCTGATATTTCCCTATTCCTGCTTGCATCAGTAAATTAATGTCTACTTTCAATGAGAAATGCTATTGAAAACAAATAGGTAATTTTCACAAGATCTCAGACATTTTCATTTTTTCATAAACACTCATTTGAGATACTCAAAACCAAGGGTATTTTTCTCTGGTGTGACTATCTTTCAGTCCTCAGTTCAGTACTTCATATTATTGGTACTACCTAAAAGAGGTGGCTGAAACTGCACACGAAAAAAGAAACGGTCAGAAAAGCCCATTGCTCATGTCAGTTAATGCAGACAAGTATAAAACCTACATCCAGAACTTTTTAACCGGTAATGTTAATATAGCATCAGGTAGATTGTACCGTTATGCTAATTAACCGATTGACCACTTCTCAAATGTGATTAGGAAAAAAACATTGAAATCTGAATTGTTGGATTGATATGAGTTAGTCGACGAACGTAAGTGGTATTGGTGAAATAATTGATATTATAAGTTATACATGCAGTATTATTTCAGGCCCATAGTTTTCGTATTAACTCAGCATGAATTCCATTCGGTATGACAGGTGTCAACCTTCGTACAGCACAACATTCATGTTCCATGTATCAGTTCAAGTAAACTATATTTAATATTTTCGCAGAAACTAAATAAATTTTGCCGTATGTGATAACTGTGTGAAAATCAGCAACACAAATTTGTGTTTGTTCTGACGATGTGCTCTTCGAAGGCCGAACATTCTTTGTGTTCTTATCTGATATCATTGGAATAATGAGGGTTTCAGTTTTTAAGCATAATAGGTAGGCAGTATAGATGCAACAAATAACCGAATTTAATTAGAATTAGTAACAAAGTAATAATATGGGAACTAGACATGACGGTGTAAAATGAAGAAGTTCAGATTCCAATATCCAATATCTTTTTCACGAGCTAGTGTAAACCAAGTGATTTCTTTGCGCTCGATTCTTGTTCTTTCAGTACGGTTCCAGATGTTCCGTAGTGTCCAATGGATGGGGGTCTATCCACTTGACTGTCTAATTCTAGTCAGTTGGCAGTTGTTTGTGAGTTTGTATGTACCGTGATTAGAATGAACTGTTTCAGGGAATACCAGCAGCTATCACATTACCAATCCGGAGATCATTTAGTTTCAATGTTGAGAGCAATAAGGATAATACGGATAAAGTTCTAATACTAATATGAATAAAATCTCAGAACTGAGTAATATATAGATGAATTTAGTTTGTTAATTGGTAGTGATTATGAGAGAGGACCGTAGTGCAAGCAAGGGGGGAACAGAGGTGAGAGGCGAGATAGATTAAATAAGTGATCTGAGGAGATGACAATGATAATAGCTATCAGGTCTCAAGATATGGATCATGAACAGCTTGTCCAAGAGGGAAATGATAGTCCGTATTTGAGTACAAGATTATCAAGTCTCTTCTTAAAGCTGTCCACCGAGGGGGTTGTGGTCACCTAAGCTGGCGTGCTCAATATGTTGTACGCCATAATCAGATCACCTCTGATTCCCCTGTAGATCAGTGGAAATCATCCCAAGTGTTGGAGTCTATCATCGTAAGGTTTATTTTTCAACCTTATCACACATTCGGATGCTCATCTCTGCAGTCGATCCTAAGATTTATAACCCTTTTGGGCAGAGTGGATGCGATGACATTAAGAACCTCCAAGTGTATGCGTGCTTACGTCTTAAATAGGGTCAAGAATAATTGCGGAGTGATAGCACTAAGTTGTCTTCGCAAAAAGTGAAGGGTCACATTTGCCTTGGCTGCGTCCCCTACATAGTTCGGACTCGTGTGGAGGCTTTCTGTGGTTATTTAATCGAGATCGCGCTCTGATGAGACATTAGGGAGCGGACTTCCATTGAGGGTATAGATCGTTTTCGTCGTGTGAGGCAGAATATGCACGACGTGGCACTTTGGATCGTTGAGTTTTAAACCCTTTTTCACTGCCCATTTCTCAATAGATGTTAGGTCCTTTTCAATCTCATTCCAATCCTCTTCGCTTCTAATGTACCTCGAGATCTTTGCATCGTCCGCGTAGATCAATGCCGGTGAGCTAACTGAGCCTAACAGGTCTTTATTAAATATCAGGAAAAGAAGTGGGCTTAGGATGGTCCCCTGTGAAACTCCCGATGAGGATAATCGCCAGCTCGCGTGCACTCTATTTACCTTGGTGCGAAACTTTCTATTCTCAAGGAATAGAGTCTGAAAGTACCCCGAAATCGCAACTATACCTTTGACCGTATTAGTAAGTAACTGCGTGTGTCCAGTAACTTTTCCACAAGTGAGTGATTGCATGTATACTGCCGAAGCAACGCACAATGGTTCTGATTTGGAATGGTTCCGTTAGCCCAAAAATGTTTGCAGATTGTCAACCAGTGAATGGAGACAACTTTTCATAGCTTCGTGGGTGATAAGGTATACCGACAATCGAGTGTTATCCGTAAATAGTGGAAAGTGAGCGAGGCCACGTCCAATTCAAAGCGCGCGCATTCACAGACTTCGAAATCAAAAAAAATTGTACTGAAGAATAATACAATTGGAAGTACTCATTATAAATGGATTTTCTACTCTAACAGTTCATTCCGGATCCAATAGGTGCAGTTTGATACGCATACGCCCAGATCCGAAATATAAACACAGTAATTCTGGGAGAAAACGGTCCTATTAATCAATAAAAATGGAAATACAGAAAATTACCAAACAATATTACACCTTCTAGTTCCAATTTACCGCGGTGGGTATCCGTTTCTGGAAGAATAAGTGCTTCCAGTCCGTACTGTTGAAGTATCAAATCCAAATATAGCTGTAGCCATATTAAATATCAAATTTAAACAACATATGTACAGTTCAGAAGCAAACATAAAGGCTTCAATATAAGTACAAGATATAGAAATAATAACAATATACAATGATAAAATCTCAAAATGGAATCAAATAAAGCACCAAAATGTCAACAGAAAGAGTCAGTCATATCATAACACAAATATATATACATGGAGGGATTTTCCAAAAAATAAAACATTCAAAATAGATTCTACACCGGCCCGCAAAATCCCTACATGCAAAAAACAAGCCCTTTCTGACACTTCAATTTAGGGTTCACTCTCATTCTCTAATCCACACCGAAAGATGAATAGGACTTACAGCAGTACGCCTGCCCGCCCTCCAACATGGATATGACCTATCAAACTAACTATGTACCTGTACCTTCCCATCAGGTCCTTGATTCCCCTATCTATCGTAGCATGACCTAACGGTAGTATAAACCTTATCCAATTAATCCACATGAACATGCACAACACGTCGTAAAGCTGGTCATATCCTATCCGGGATTTACATTCCACATCATGGGGATGAGTCGTCAATCCACCACTTGCTCCGATCGGCAGATACAATTAAGTCCGTGATGCTGACTTATCAACAGAATTTCTTGACCCATAGATGACATGCAAGGTTGGGATCTCCAATTTTGACATCTCGTCTCCTGGAGACTCTGAGTGGCATTACATAGGAACAATATTTAACTCTCCATCTTCTGACACAGAGGGAATTTGATCAGCATTCGTCATCGTCGACAACTCATTTGTCGCATCAGTGACATCCAGGTTATTACCATCGTCACCATGTTTCGTTATGTCAGACAAGTCGGGTCGTTTCTTGCTGCACTAGCATCCGTAGAGTGAAACTCTTCCATTGTTGTACAACTCCTCTCGCTACATGGAAGAACAGCATTAGTGTCACAATTCGAAACCGACAAACTCACTTGTTGTTCTTCATGTTCCGTTTCAGAGACACAAGACAAATGCACATCAATAGCATCGTTATTCATGCAACACTGTAGACTGGCTGTTACCATCAGACGCTTCCTTCTCATCGTCACTCGACAGACAGTCAACCGGAGTAGGAACACTTACAGTTACACAACCTTGTGCATCCTCAATCAACTTAACATTCGCGGCAGGGTCCGATGACGTCAAAACACTAGAAGGCTAATTCGATGAAGTTGATCGACTAGTCACTATAGGTGGACTGCTCCCACTTTCTGTGTCTTTACTATCGCTGTCACTACTAAGATTCTGATGACTACTATTTCCATTGCTAGTCAAAGCATCCGAAAGGGAACGAAGTTTACGCTTGTTAATAATAGTAGCATCATGTCGTTTCTTATGCTTCTTAGCTTGGTGGCAGTATGTGAGCGTAACGTACGATCATTTCGACAACGATGAGTGTCTTTCAACTTCCCTCGATCACTATTACACGCAGTACTATCAATGCTATTATCATTAGTAGCCGCAACTGTACAAGCAGCAGTACACTTCTCATGACATCCAGTCGACTCATGCACAATGGCTAACTCTACTCGATCAACACTGCTTTCTTACTAGGAATGCTCCTAACCTCATCTATCGAATCACTGTTGGTAGTGCTCATCCCGAAGCTTGTAGTACAAGTCAAAGATGGTGGAGTGCGACAGGTGGACAATTCCATTCTCGATTCCTCATGCTGCGTATTCAACACAACAGCATGTCCATCAAACCTAGATGACTCCTCATTGCACCTAGGGTACCGAATGTTAGCCCTCACAGTACTGCCATCACTGTGGCTCAAGCTATTGCCACAGACGCCTAC